GAAACCCGTAGATCAGTGGGATGCGTGGATGGTAACCTTCGCTGCGACTGCCATGGACTCTTCAACTTGCAGAGCCTGGAAGGACGAGCTCGAGAAGTTGAAAGCTAGCGTCTCGACACCAGGAGAAGTCGCTTCGTTCACCAACCTGACCAGCTTTCTGCGAAGACGCGGCCGCTCGCTGGCTTCAGTCGAAATATTACGAGGCGTACGCTCGATTGGTGATCCTTCCGCCTCGCGTTCGACCGGTGCTCGTCCCCTGGTGGCAGCGCTAGCCAGTCGCAATCACCGATCGCTGGCCACCACTGCAACAAAGGCTGACTGCCCAGTCTGCCAGTCACCTCACTACCTGGGTCACTGTGGACAATTCCTACAACTCAATGGGCCTGCACGCAGGGCACTTGTCGTTCAGTTAAAGTTGTGCTTTAACTGTCTGAGGCCCGGGCATGTCGCTCACTCCTACCCGTCTCAAGGGGTGTGTCAACAGTGCAAAGCGTTGCATCACAGCTTGATCCACGACGGCAGCCGCAAACGCAAAGCCGAGGCGGACACACGAAGCACTCAGGCCAAGCAAGCGTTATTTGAGTCGACAGTAACAGAAGCCGCGGATAACGTCGATGCAGCTACTGATCCGCAGTTCTGACTAGCTGTGTTGCCCACTATCATTGTCCAGTTAAAAGGAATCAGCGGACGATCGATTGCAGTACGAACACTCGTTGACGCGTGCTCGTAGACAACAATCACGACCACTGGGCTTGCTCGGAGACTTGGCGTTCGACTTGAGTCAGCACCTACATCTGTTCAGGATTGAAGTGAATTTAGTCCGTTTTTATACATTAAACCTATTCTTAGAAATTCACCTTAACTTGTACATCTTTATTTCTCTGCGAGCAGTCACACTGCAAATGTAAACAAAGACTTTCACCCATGTTATAGACAATTTTTATCTTTTCTTAAGTTCTCTTTCTCTTTCTATTATTTTCCAATGTTTTAGTTTCACACGAGCCACTGCTCTGCGTAGCAGTACACATATATGCTAACAAATACATATCTGTTCACGCACTGCTCTGCGAAGCAGCCTAATAGGTCAGTCTGCTTTCGGTGCGTACAGCTAAAGCAACTCACAGTACTCGCCTGCTATATGTAAGGAGGCTCGAGATTCGATGCCTTGCATATACATGTAGATCGCGTTTTCCAATCTGTAAAATAGTGTGTAAATAAATAGTTCCAATAGTTTTATTACATCCCAGTCTTCCTCCATATTTTTGCTGCTTCTTCTTGTGCTTTCGGGTGCACGAAGAGCATCTATGCACAAACCTTACCCAGATCACTGTAATGAGCTTTTAAAGCTCAGCCACGCCAACCACAATACAGTCCACTACAGTCAATATGCAANTTTATTACATCCCAGTCTTCCTCCATATTTTTGCTGCTTCTTCTTGTGCTTTCGGGTGCACGAAGAGCATCTATGCACAAACCTTACCCAGATCACTGTAATGAGCTTTTAAAGCTCAGCCACGCCAACCACAATACAGTCCACTACAGTCAATATGCAACATTTGGTCCTTCGAGCCGGATTACAGTGTCGGGAAAGGATACAGTGTTTAAGTGTCAAGTGAAGTTGTGTCACACTGAGAGACTTACAACCTCTCAGTGTGTTGGTGAAGTGCTATACTTATATTCTCGTGCTAAGAGATTTACGACCTCTTAGTGCATTTGGTCGTAGAAGCCTGACAACCTCCTGCGTACTTCTGTGACGAGTTGAGCTCCTCGTTCACTACTCTTACCTCTTGATTCGTCAAGGTGGGCGGCATTTTCACATTTTTCCACACGCTTTACTACGGCAGCATAATGTCCAAGGGTCTGAAAACCTTGTTCAAGCGGCAGCAAGAGTTATATTTGAGAATATTCAATGCCAAGACCAACCTCAAGAAGCTCGGAAAAGACAACATCAATAGATGTGTCGTTGACAAACGTCTGGGTCAACTTCGCAATAATTGGAATGACTTCTTGAGCAACCATATGAAGATTCTCGACTTGACGGTTGACTGTGAATAATAAATCGGCTATTTTGCTGAAGATAGTTACGGCACCGCGGAGGAAGCATATCTCTCCTCAGCCGCGTTCTTGGCTGATGTGCTGCAGAAGTTTCCCGTCCCGCCACATAAAGATACTGCTCCCGCTACAACAGCTCCGTCAAGAAGCATGCCTGCAGTGTCCGTGCCTAATTTCTCGGGTCAATTTTGCGATTGGCTCGAGTTCAAGGACTTATTCTCAGCGATTATTGTGCGTGACTCTCGTCTAAGTAACGTCGAGAAGCTGCAGCAGCTTAAAACCCACGTACAGGGTTAAGCCGCGGAGATGCTGAAGACGATTCAGCTTACAGACGCCAACTTCGAGGTAGCTTGGAAAGCTCTCGAAGACCATTACACGAACAAGAGACGTCTTGTCTCAGCTCTTGTTCGAGATCTGCTCAATCTACCAGTCATCACTATAGAGTCTGCTTCGGAGCTCAAGGCATTGCTTAGTGGCACAGTCAATGCACTTGTAGCGCTTAATCAACTCAACTGCCACACGGACCATTGGGATGATTTGATCGTTGCACTCACCGTTCGGAAGCTCGATACTCAGTCTTTCCGCGAATGGGAGTCGTCAATTTGATCTCAAACTGATCCACCTACGTTCGCTCAGCTTAAGACCTTCATAGAGCAGCGCATCTCAATGCTTGAGATCATTAGTGCATCTGTGAAGGCCTCCAAGGTCAAGGAGAAGTCAAAAAGTCACGTTGCGCTTAACCAGTTGGACACACGCCATAAATGCTTCTACTGTCAAGGAGAGCATTTTCTCTATCGCTGTGAAGAGTTTCACGGCAAATCTCCACAGGAACGCAGACAATTCGTCGCCCAAAAGGGTCTGTGCACGAATTGTTTCGGCTCACACAAGCTCACCGATTGCAAGTCAAGCCATCGTTGTCAAACTTGTTCCCGCAATCACTATACGATGCTGCACGATAAGACGTCATCCTCTGCACACGTAACGTCATCAGGTACTTTGCCAGCTGTCTATGGCAAAGACAGTCAAATATATTATCATCTACAACTACCTGGTACTTCAGCTGTGTGCACGACGCTACTACCAACAGTACTCGTCCAGCTGCAAGGACCCGACGGACGCAGACACATTGCTCGTGCCTTGCTCGACAGCGCTTCACAAACCACTTGTGTCGCAAAAAGCCTGTTGAAAAGGGCGAGCACCGATTATAAACCGCAAGAACATAGCTTGCTGGGAATTGGCGGCTTTAATGGCCCACCAGTGCATGGAATCGCACACCTCAAGATTTCACCGCTAAACGACGACAAAGTCAAAATCGGCTTTGACTCCCAAGTCATCTCGCTCATCACGAAGTACTGTCCAGGCCAACACAAAATTCATAGCGCTTGGCAACATCTAAAAGGCTTAGCAATGGCAGACGATTTTCGCGAGAGACGCTCAGAAATCGAGCTGTTGCTAGGTGCCAATATCCTGCCTCAAGTGCTAAAGAAAGGACTACGAATTGGAGCGCCAGGGACTCCAATGGCTCAACGTACCATTTTTGGATGGACGCTGTCAGGTGTTTTACAAACCCCAGCTTCATCTTCATCATCGCAACTTGAACATCATTCTCATCACCTTGTGTCAGTGTCACGTGCAAAGTGTTGTGTAAAAAAGAAAACAATATTTCGCTCAAGTTTTGTTCACGAAATAGGCGGCCGGAATGTTTAGGATTGAAGTAAATTTAGTCCGTTTTTATACATTAAACCTATTCTTAGAAATTCACCTTGACTTGTACATCTTTATTTCTCTGCGAGCAGTCGCACTGCAAATGTAAACAAAGACTTTCACCCATGTTATAGACAATTTTTATATTTTCTTAAGTTCTCTTTCTCTTTCTATTATTTTCCAATATTTAAGTTTCACACGAGCCACTGCTCTGCGTAGCAGTACACATATATGCTAACAAATACATATCTGTTCACGCACTGCTCTGCGAAGCAGCCTAATAGGTCAGTCTGCTTTCGGTGCGTACAGCTAAAGCAACTCACAGTACTCGCTTGCTATATGTAAGGAGGCTCGAGATTCGACGCCTTGCATACACATGCGGATCGCGTTTTCCAATCTGTAAAATAGTCTGTAAATAAATAGTTCCAATAGTTTTATTACATCCCAGTCTTCCTCCATATTTTGCTGCTTCTTCGTGTGCTTTCGGGTGCACGAAGAGCATCTATGCACAAACCTTGCCCAGATCACTGTAATGAGCTTTTAAAGCTAAGCCACGCCAACCGCAATACAGTCCACTACAGACAATATCCAACAACATTTATCTCAGGCGTTGGCAGAGCTGGCCTGCTCGATCGCAAGCCACAGCGCAACTTGAGTTGCACATTTAGCCATCAGATTGATCGCTGCAGTTGACCGCCTATTGTTTGTCCAAATTGAGGATCCGCATTCCCGCAGCCAGACTTTCTCAAGCCGTTGTGGAGCTGTGGCAAGATCTTCCTGACTTGGCAGACCCGAACTTCGGAGTCCCAGGTGAGGTTAACATCCTCCTCGGTGCCAATGCTTATCTTCATCTGATCTGGTCAGGGCTCGTCACGAGAGGGAAACTCATTGGTCAGCGTACGGTTGCTGGATGGACTGTAACCGGCCGAGTCCAGTGCCACACCAACTCATCGACAACTTCTATGAGCCTCTCGACGCAGAAAAACGAGTCACTTTGGCACGATCGGCTGATCGCCCTGATGCAACGTTTTTGGGAACTAGAGGACGTGCCACGATCGGTCCGCCAGTCACCAAATGACGTGGACTGCGAGAAGATTTTTGCAGAACATTAGCGAGCTGACAACGGGTGCTATATCGTTCGACTCCCTCTGAAACACAACAGGAGCCTACTATTGGGAGAGAGCCTGACCAGCGCGACAGCATCCCTCCGCTTGTTACATCGACGGCTGCAGCGCGTCCTGGCCATGGCTGTCGAGTATGCCCACTTTATGACAGAGTACATCAGTCATGGACACATGCGACAGCTGAGCGATGAGGAGTTGCTAGCAAAGACGGACACCGTGCACTACATTCCGCATCACGGGATCTGGAAAACTGGCTATTTGCGGAAAAGACTGCGTGTCGTATTCGACGCCTCGTGGCCAACCTCGACAGGATACAGTCTCAACGACGTGCTACACAGTGGACCGAAACTCCAAACCTGGCTGCCCAGCGTCCTCCTGCGTTGGAGAAGGCACCGAATTGCTTTTTGCGCAGATGTACAAATGATGTTTCGCCAGATTCGTGTCGACGAACGAGACGTAAACCTCCAGCGAATCCTTTGGAGCGCCAACGACTCTAGCCCACCAAAGCATTTCCAGTTGCTCACCGTAACCTATGGCGAAGCGAGCGCCCCGTACCTGGCATTACGAACGATTCTGTAGCTGTGCGAGTATAAAGGAAGCACCTGGCCCGAGGCTGTGCCTATCATCAAGAACGATCGGTACGTCAACGACATTCTCTCTGGCGCCGATGACGTCGAGACAGCCCGGCTTCGTCGAGATCAGTTAATCGGACTGATGAACGCTGGATGTTTCCCACTTAAAAAATGGGTGTCCAACGAACCCGACCTCCTGCGCGATATTCCAGAGGACTCTCGTCTCAGGCCAACTTGGCGACAGATCAGTGTGGACGTGTTTGTCAGCGAGCTTGGAATCAACTGGGACCCACTCATCGACTGTTTCCACCTGACCCCACCTCCCATGCGATCTCAGTACATCAAGCGCTCTATGCTCGCCGCCCTCACCAGCCTTTTTGATCCTTGTGGATAGATCGCACCCACAGTCCTCGTGGCGAGGATGATCATCCAAAACCTTTGGCGTGTGAAACTAGACTGGGACGAAAACGTACCAGATTTCCTAGCTCAACGATGGCGGGACTTCTCCACTCAACTGCAGGACGTCTCTGGCTTGACCATTCCCCGCTGGATCAGCAGCCACCCAACAGCCATGCTACAGCTACACGCTTTCGCAGATGCCAATTGCCGAGCAATAGCAGCCGTTGTGTACTTACGAGTCAAAGACCCAGTCCACGGGATTTGCACGTGCATTCTGTTATCCAGAACAAAGCTAGCTTCGATCAAGAGCTTGCAGCCAAGTAACTCACGACCCACGCGGATGACGATACCTTGGTTGGAACTACGCGCTCCACTATTGGCTACCAGACTCATCGCCACTGCTGCCAAGGAGTACAGTATCAGCGAAGAGCACTGTCACGCTTGGAGCGACTCACAGATACTGCTTCATTGGATCTGCTCGTCCGAGCCCACCAACAACTCGGTGGTGGACAACTATGTGGCGCACATTCAGGAGTTGTTACCCTCGTATATCTAGAGGCACGTTCCCACGGACTCCAATCCCGCGCATGTGGCGTCTAGAGGAATTGATCTTTCCTCGCTCCAACGCAAGCGTCTGTGGTGGGAGGGCCCCACATAATTGATGTCTCCACCAGCGTCGTGGCCAATCGGAACCCCAAATACCACTGACTTGGGTCACCATCCAATTGATGCATCTGATCACCTGTGCGGGGCCACTCAGCTCGACGAAACACACATCTTGGAGCGATTTTCGGACCTTGATCGCTTGCTGCGCTTTCTTGTGCAATTGCGTCGATGGGTTCGATTCAAGCTTCAGCGTGATGCCACCTTACCGGTCCTCGTAGGAATGACGGCCACCGAATTACGTGACGCCTATTTCGTCTGCGTCCGTCTCAGTCAGCGAGAGTTTTTCTCCATGGAAATCGAGAGTCTACAAACAGGAGACCGCGTAGCAGCCAAGAGACCACTCCTAACCCTCGATTCGATCATCGCTGACGATGTGCTCCGGGTGGGCTGCCGACTTCAGCACTCTACGCTTTGCTTCGACGAACGACATCCACCAATTCTGGACGGCCGATGCCCTTTAGCGAAGCTGGTGATACGCTGGGCCCATGTTCGAGCATTGCACGAAGGAGCCTGGTTGACCAGCGCATTTGTCGGCCGTAAAGCCTGGATCATCGGAGGGCGGCGCCAAATCAAGAGCTTCTCAAATAGGTGCCTCATCTGCACTCGCTTGCAGGTGCGGCCAGCCACTTAACATATGGCACCATTGCCAGTTGCTCGAATTACTCCCGCTCGTGCATTTCAACGTACTGGTGTAGACTACGCCGGACCTTTCAACATATTGTCGGCCAAGGGACGAGGCTTACGCGCTAGTGAGGGCTACGTAGCCGTGTTCGTCTGCATGGCCTCGAAGGTAATTCATCTGGAGCTCGTGAGAGATCTATCAACCGACTCATTTCTTGGAGTGCTAACCAGATTTTGTGCTCGTCGAGGCTGGCCAACCAAGATCTGGAGTAACAACGCCACCTGCTTCCGGGCTGCCGATCGGAAGCTTCGTGACGCCATCCAAGATGCTGAATTGCGCTGGAATCGTATCGCTGGGTCATTGGCCAATCAAGGGATATGTTGGAGATTCATCCCCCCTAGAGCCCCACACTTCGGAGGACTTTGGGAGGCTGGCGTCAAGTCTATGAAAAGCCATCTCCGCCGCACCATCGGACCCCGTAATCTCACCTACGAGGAGTTTTCCACTGTCCTAACCAGCATCGAAGCCGTGCTCAACAGCCGTCCACTCACGCCATTGACAGGAGGCCCAGACAATTTGGACGTTCTTACCCCTGGAAATTTTCTAGTCAATGGATCTCTAGACTCTGTCATCGACTCCAGCTCTTCGACTCAGAATCTCGATCGTCTCACGCATTGGGATCTTGTACGCGACATCAGTGTCCAATTTTGGACTCGCTGAAACCGCGAGTACCTAAACACACTCCAACAGTGGCCCAAGTGGAAGGTCCATCAGCGAAATTTTCAGATCAACGACGTCGTCACCGTGTTGGATCCCACCATCCTTCAGTCCAGCGGGTTGTGGCCGCTCGGCCGAATTACCCAGATCCACCTCGGGTCTGATGGACTCGTCAGAGCCACCACCGTTCAAACCAGTACCGGTGAATACGTTCGCCCCATGTGCCAACTCTGCCTCCTGCCCACAAACCCCCCATTGCTGACGACCAAGCTGATTCAGGCTCAACCGAGCTAGACACGGCGCGTGGCGGGCGGAGATTAAGATCATTTCAGAAATGAGGTGGGCGGATTGTTTGTAATTCGCGCCTTCTGCCATGGACGAGGGGCACTACCGGCAGAAGCGGGAAGTGTGGATACTTTGGTGAGGGGACCGTTGACGAAGAGATATAGGAAGATAGGGTGCGTGAGTCACGTGTTCGACCTGTATCGTATAACTTTGTATTCTACTTAACAAACTAATAAAAACAAAGCTGTACTACACTACTCAATACTATAATAAAGCGAACAATGTATATGCTTTATTTTTTATTATTTAACAACTAGTTAGTCTGGCATAAAGCTGAAACGACACATCGACATTTTTGAAAAATATCAGCAATTTGTTTCACACATGGTACCCACTTGATGCTGTTTAATTTTTGAGTCACGCGCCTTTCACATGATGCTGTTTCAAATATGTGATATGCTGGAGATTGTTGCCTTCTTTTACGGCCCCTCTATATGGTGTATTTTGTCTCATCTTAGTTTTGCAAATGAGCTTCTACTTCGTGTTTCTGTTTTTGCATCTTCCTTTAGTGGTTCAAGACCTGACTGGTCTTCATAGGACTTCTTTGAGGTTTTGCCTCATCCAAACAAAATTAACTTGGAATTTTCTGTGGATACTATTTTTGCGATAATTTAACTATCTTATTTTCTCGGTCTTGATTGATATCGATGGCAAGAAAAACTTTCAAGCTTGTCCATCAAATTCACTGTATCAAGTATTGATACGTCATTGCTAGAAATCAACGTATATAGTTAAAATTGAGGATTTTTCTCTTCGTTTCTATGTATATGAGCATAGCTCAATTGAATGAGTTTCAAAGCCGATTTTAACAAGTGCTGTGATGAAGCGCTTATTTCAACGCTTAGAATTAAATTTTAGTTAATAGAGTGGTTTTAAAAGCTTACACACTTTCTTTCACTTCTCGTCTGTTATGTGATTTATTTTGTCTGAAATCTCCATGTATATTTTTTTCTTAATGATGCCGTTAATAAAGGCTTCTTTTACATCCATTCGTATCATCTCTAGATCAAATATGCTTACAGTAGCTACTATACATATGATAAAAGTCAGTTAGAAGACCAGAACATAGATCACCTGAATCTTATGGAAATTTTTATCCTCTAATTCATTAATAACTAGTCTGGCTTTGGACTTAGTCTTACTGTTTACATTTACCTTACACTTTAAGACCTATTGAGAGTGAATAATGTTGAACTTTGTTCCAGACCTGATTCTCAACTGACGATTCACGATTTTTCACAGTTGGTTCGTATTCATTAAACACAACTCATCATTGATAGCTTCAAGCTATCTACTTCTGTTCTTCTAACTTATAATTTTTTAATAATTCGTTGGATCCTCAGGGATCTTAGTGAATAAAGCGTAGTTTTTTACTTTTTTGAGTCTCTAAGACCTTGTATCAATTATTTACACTGGAGTGTATTTTGTCTTGGTTGTCATATATTTCCTTGAGTGTCCTCGCTTTTTGTTCTTGACATTTTTTCTTTCCTTTTTTGAGGTTTGTTCATCTGACTTATCAGAAATGTTGAACGAGATAAACCAAGTGTCTAAATTAACGTCGTTTACTAATTGGCCCCAATCCTTAATTTGTTTTTTCCATACGTATCAACATAAACAAGTTTATTGTTAAAGAGTACATCTTAATTTTAGTATAATCTTTCTTATCAGGCTACAGAAAAATATAGCCACAGCTTGACAATCTGGCTTGTACAACGCATTGTCAAGTTAGAGCAAACTTAGGGCCAGTGTTCCGTTGAACTTCCACGTTAGCCAGATATCCAAAACGTCTGATCTGATTTATGCTAAAAGTTTTATGAATGGCAAACCTTCGAAGAGGTATCTCTATATTGTTTTATCATGCAAGTACAGTTTTATGCATGGACTCATGTCTATAATGCTACCTTCCACATTTATTAGGCATTAGGTTAAGGCACGTCTGGTGGAGCTAGCTGTAGTTCAACTGAAAATTTTTTTAATACATCGTTTTTATAACTACCTGTGTTCGGCTCGTTTACCGCGATCAACGTCCGACAAGATGACGGCACGCGCGCCATCCTTCGTTGTACGCGCATACTGCTCCTGCGGAACTGCCAAACCGCGCGTGGGCTGACACACAGACGATCGAGGACCCAAGGAAGAAAGAGCTGAGGGAGATCACATCGACAGAAGTGCTATAATTGTTTGCAACTCTGTACTAGGCGCTAAGTCATATCCAATAAAGATTTTCAAAACTGAACATTGGTCCTTCGAGCCGGATTCCGAGCAAGTAAGAAACAAACAGCAACCATTGCAGAGCAGGTGTAAACCAAGGAGAGCATTCAGCACACAACACAATGTGAGTATACTATTGCTGATGTCAAAGTATTGGTTGTATTAAGCCATCGCGGCTGCCATCATGCCCGCGTAGGCCAATTAATCTACGAAAAAGATGACATAAGTGTTAGCAGAAAACAAAAAATACGTTGATATAGAAGTAAATGATTCAAGAAACATAGCGTTTTGTTTTTTCGGTTATTCAGTGGCTGAGTTAACCTAAAACTTTTGTGAAAGTTTGAAAATCACTTTTTTCGAGTTTGAAAAAAAAGTTGACCTCCAATGCCGAAAAGTTAAATAACAAAGTTGTAGATCTTTAAAAAACCTATCGATTGAACCCCGTTGGATATAATTTTAATGCGTAGTTGCTGAGGAAACTTGAAAAAAACCATCTAAAATAGTCTTTTTTTAATTTGTTAATAACTTTTTTTCTTTTGAGATTTTAAAGTTGCTATTCGGTCAAATTATGAGTTTTTGGCTCACAAACCTTCAGTTGTTTTTTTAGCCAAAAATATTAAAAATTTTCGAAATATCGCATTTTTTCGAAAAAAAATACCTTTCGTAAAAACTTCAATAGACGTCAGAAAATAATGCTGGAGCGATTCTTCAGGATTAATCTCTTTGTCTAGACTTATTCTATCATGCAATGTTTGTAGTAAGTGAAATTTTCTAATTTTTGATGCTAAAATCAGACTCTGAAAAAAGTACTCTTTTTTTCTATCGGTTTTTTACATTTTTTTTACGTATTTTGATAATTGCACGTATATAACTAACTGCAATGCATTGTACTTATTTTTTTACGAATTTAAAAAACAAAGTTTTCATGATACGACCATGTGGAGCTAAGTAAGGTTTTTTTTTTTTTTTAAATCCCTATGGGTTAGAAATCCCAATCCCAAAATGAGTATTGGTTAGTAAATTGTGCAAGTTTCAGAGTTCTACGCTTTTCACCATCGCATAGGAATTTCAAAAAAAAAAAAAAAAAACCTAACTTGTCTCCACATGGTCGTATCATGAGAACTTTTTTTTTTTAATTCGTAAAATAATAAGTACAATGCATTGCAGTTAGTTATATACGTGCAATTATGAAAATACGTAAAAAAAATGTAAAAAACCGATAGAAAAAAAAAGTACTTTTTTCGGAGTCCAATTTCGGCATCAAAAATTAAAAAATTTTACTTACTACAAACATTGCATGATAGAATAAGTCTAGACGAAGAGATTAAGCCTTGGAAAATCGCTCCACCATTATTTCCTGACGTCTATTGAAGTTTTTACGAAAGGTGTTTTTTTTCGAAAAAATGCGATATTTCGAAAATTTTTTAATATTTTTGGCTAAAAAAACAACTGAAGGTTTGTGAACCAAAAACTCATAACTTGACCGAATACCAACTTTAAAATCTCAAAAGAAAAAAAGTTATAAACAAATTTAAAAAAGACGATTTTCGATGGTTTTTTCAAGTTTCCTCAGCAACTACGCATTCAAATTATATCCAACGCGCGTCAATCGATAGGTTTTTTAAGATCTACAACTTTGTTATTTAACTTTTCGGCATTGGAGGTCAACTTTTTTTTCAAACTCGAAAAAAGTGATTTTCAGACTTTCACAAATTTTTTAGGTTAACTCAGCCACTGAATAACCGAAAAAACAAAACGCTATGTTTCTTGAATCATTTACTTCTATATCAACGTATTTTTTGTTTTCTGCTAACACTAATGTCAAATTTAACATTGAGCTTTCGTAGATTAATTGGCCTAGTGGTCCGGCTTTCGTTGGCTGATCATGGCCACGACGAGGTAGTGCCGCCATTAACGCTTGCCTCACGAGCATCTGCGTCACAAGTTGAATACAAGGCTGCCACGGCCACCGCATAGCCCGTGGTCCAGCGCTTGTTATACATACGGCCACGGCAGACATGAAGCCGTGTCACTGGTAGTGGTTATTTCGTCAGTAGCGGCGGCCACATTGCCTTCCTTACGGGTGTACCTATACCTTGTCATAACTAGAGCAAACGCAATACGGGCGTTTTATCAAGGTTAGCATTTAACCTCTCTTTTTCAATGCGTGATTCACGCAAGCGTCTACGCGCCCGCATGGACATGTGGGTGCGTATGTGCGTGTGTGCGTGTGTGTGTACATAAGGTGTGAGTCTCTCTCTTTCTCGTTCTCTTTTCTTCTCCCCGTTGTATAACCGCACACATACGTGTTAATTTGTGGAAGTGAGGACAAAGCCAGGCTTGGCCTGACGGTAATAGCAGCTTCGTGCAACCGTCAAGCTCATGATTGCTCTTCCAGATCCGACAAAGGCTGGGCTATCCTATTTGGCACCTAATAAGCTCTGGCA